AGTAGTGAAGTTAGCATACACTACTTATGATTTTTAGTGGCTGAATTATATTTCACTTTAAAAAACTGTTCTATTACAGCTCCTTTATTGGTTTTCACTCACCACAGAACCTCCGATTTTAAAGCACCAACTCTACTATTTAGCTTTTAATGCAGCTTTTGACTTCTCATGATCCACCCTATGTGAAGCATTTATTTTAATTATAGTTTAGAAATTATTGTTAAGGAAGCAATCAATAGCTTTCCACTGACAGGATTAAATTCTCAAAGCACCAAGAAGTACAACAGTTTAAACCTGTATTGGGGAAGTGAGTTTTATGATATTAAGAGCCTGCGCTTTGCTTTAGTCCTGGAGGCTGTCATCTGGGTGTGGAGGGAGGAATCAAAGTGAGCGTTTTGCTCCTAAGGCACTACCCTGTACTAGTCATCCCAGAAGACTCATGTCAGTTCTAAGGAGGAGGACAGGACGTCTTGGCAGAAATCACATGGTTAGTGAGGACATCACACCTCACTGAGACACTCATTCTCTCTTTTGGTCCAGCCAAACTGTGGGACTAGCATGGACACAGTGAAAGCAGAAGCTAGATGTCAAAGAAAAAAGCACTGCCTTTCAATGCTCAAGATGAACCCTCCAACCTAAGGTGAGTATCACTCTTGGGACAAGGAACACTGAAAACAAATGACAAGTCTGCCAGGCTCCAAGAAAAACCAAACTAAACCATCTGATCCCCTCTTACTTTCAGTATTGGAGTTTTTGGTGTACATTATCAAGGAAAGAAATGGAATTTTTGGCAGCACTGCTCACAAAGAGAATGTAGTAACCACTCCATTTGTTCAAAAGTGTTTGTCAAAAATTCAAATAAGTGTTTAAGTAATTGCTCTTTGTCAACATGTCCATTAAAATGCAAGTTCCATGAGGGCAGGAAACATCTTGTCCTTGTTCATCACCTTAACCTTCCTCCCACTAGGGAGAATGAGACATTAAAAAGAATTATAGACTTAGTAGGGAGCAGTGGCTTATGGCTATAATCTCAGCTATTCTGCAGGTGGCGATCAGGCCAACCTAGGAGGTATAAGTAGGAAGACTGTAGTCCTGACCAGCCTGTGCAAAAATCATGAGACTCTATCTGAAAAATAGCTAATGCAACAGGACTAGGGACCTGACTCAAATGGTAGAGCACCTGCCAAGCAAGTGCAAAGTCCTGAGTTCAATCTCTATTGCTAGTTTTAAAAAATTACAAGATTTTTAATCTCAATTGCATCTAGTTCTGCAAAGGAAGAGAATTGTTTGATGAAGTCATAGAGAACTTCTGCAAAGAAGGCACACAGACTGAGCTAATGTCAGAAGACACACAGGAGAGGAGAGGGCAAAGGAGATGTTCAGGCAGGAACCAAAGCTCCCAACACAGGGCACTGGAAAAAGAGAAAGAAGGTCCAGATCTTAGAGCTTAGAGATAAGACTTGTGAAGGGCATGAAGTGAAGCTGTGGGCATACATAAGAAACAAACTGAAACACCTTACCTATCTAGAAGTTTGGTCTTGATTCTCAATGCAATGTAGCCATTGAAGGCTTTTTAACACAAAGCAACAGGCTCAGAGTTGTATTTTTTAAAGAGGCCATCTGATCTTGTGAGGGCAAGAAGACTAATAAAATCAACTGGGAGAAAGTAATCAGGAGGGTGTTGCAGTGATTTTGTAAAACATGATATTAGTCTGGGCTAGGATGACAGAGATAGGGAGAAATAGAGTACATGTATTTAGGAAGGAGAATCAATAGGACTTATCATTATTTAGATATAGGGAACAAAGAAAGGCCAAATTAAGAATAACTACCTGATCTCTGAGTGGTGCAGCTGCTGGCGTAGCTATTCACTGGAGAGGCCAATGATGACGAAAAAGAAACCCTGAGTTGTATGGATTTCTGGAAAAAACTGAAGCCAGCAACATCCATGAATGTTGTGCCAAGTTGGACCAGTACTTTGCCTTAAATGGATTATCAATTTATTCCTAACTGCAGTCTTATAAAGTAAGTGCCTTCTCCTCCATCTTTGGAGACAAGAAAACTGAAACTTAGAAGGCTTACTAACTATGATCTTCTCAGAGCTAAAAGTTGGCAGAACTGAGATTTAAACCTAAATCTCTCAGTTTTAAGGCAGACTTAAAAAATTTTTTTTAACTTAGAGAATACTTTATTAGTTTCTGTAATTTTTTTAAATTTTATTTTATCATTTTTACATGTACTTATATGTGGATACATTATTTGGGCCACCTTCCCCTTCCACCCTCCTCTGCCTTCAGGCAGAACCTGTTCCACCCTCTTGCTCCCCAATTTTGTTGAAAAAAACCATAAAAGATAGTAAGTTTTACTCAGCCATGAAGAAGAATGAAATCTTATCATTCTCAAGTAAATGGATGGAACTGGAGAACATCGTTCTGAGTGAGGTTAGCCAGGCTCAGAAAACCAAAAATCTTATGTTCTCCCTAATATGCAGACTTTAGATCTAGCACAAATGCAGCAATGTTGTTGGACTTGGGTCACATGACAAGAGGAGAACACATATGGGAGGTGTGGGGATAGGTAGGAAACCCAAAACTTGAAAGTGTTTGATGTCCCCACTGCAGAGGAGCTAATACAGTAACCTTAAAGCAACAGAGGTCAATATGGGAAGAGGATGAGGAATCAGTGGAAAAGGTCAGGTAGAGATGAATCAATTTGGGTTGTAACACACTTGTGTATGGAAGCAATGCTAGGAATCTCTCTGTATAGCTATCCTTATCTCAACTAGCAAAAACACCTTGTCTTTCTTATTATTGCTATGTCTTCTCTTCAACAAAATTTGAAGAAAATTTTGGAAAATTTGGAAGTGAGACAGGGGGGTGGAGGGGGGGGTGGAGGGGAGGGGGGGCTGGAGGGGAGGGCGAGGGGGAGAAATGGCCCAAACAATGTATGCACATATGAATAAATGAATAAAAAAAAAGATAATAAGAAAAACATGGAGTTTTTGTTAGTTTGAGATAAGGACAGCTATACAGAGAGATTCCTAGTGTTGTTACCACACACATGTGTACTGCAACCCACATTGGTTCATCTCTACCAGAACTCTTCACTATTTCCTACTCCCCCTCCCATAGTGGCCTCTGCCTGTTTAAGATTGCTATATTCATTCCTGTACAGTGGACATATCAACCACATGCAAGTTACTTCCCTTTCCCTATTCCTCCCATGTGTGGTCTCCCCTTAGTGTGTGACCCATCTCCAATAATATTAGTGCATTTGTTTTAGGTCTGTAATCTGCATATGAGAGAAAACATGCGATTTTTGGCCTTCTGAGTCTGGCTAATTTCACTTAAGATGATGTTCTCCAGTTCCATCCATTTATCTGCAAATGACAAAATTTCATTCTTCTTTGTGGCTGAATAAAATTCCATTGTGTATAATTACCACATTTTCTTAATCCATTCATCGGTAGTGGGGCATCTTGGCTGTTTCCATAGCTTAGCTATTGTTAATAGTGCTGCAATCAACATGGGTGTGCAGGTGCCTATTGTATAACCAGAGTCGCCTTCCTTTGGGTATATCCTTAGGAGTGGGATTGCTGGATCATATGGCAGATCTATGTTTAGTTTTTCAAGAAGCTTTCATATTGTTTTCCATAGTGGTTGCACTAGCTTACATTCCCACCATCAGTGTGTGAAGGTTCCTTTGTCCCCTACATCCTCACCAACACCTGTTGGTGGTGGTGTTCTTGATGATGGCTATTCTAACAGGGGTGAGGTAGAATCTTTGTATAGTTTTGATTTGCATTTCCTTTATGGCCAGAGATGGTAAGCAATTTTTTTTTTGAAAAAGTTCTGTTTAGTTCAGTTGCCCATTTCTTTATTTGGTAATTGATTTTTAGTGTTTTGAGCTCCTTGTATATTCTGGTTATTAGTCTCTTGTCTGATGTATAGCTAAGGGTAGATGGTTTTAATGACAAACATACTGCTTCATGAAAACTCAGGCTTACTTAGGGAAATTTTTCTAATTTCAAAAGTTCATAAGTCTGAATCTGGAGCTTGTGGGAAACATCTAGACCTTCTTTCAAGGTTGTCCAGAGTAAACCTGCACTCCAGAAAAAAATGAGTCTACATTCTCCATTCTTTACTCCCCATCTGGCTCACTGCCTTCCCCTTGCTTTTGTCCAAATGTTAGTGACCTCCAACTGCCCTATCTCTTCAGCCTTGCCTTCTCCAAGTTCTTACAACACTTTCAGTCTTACTAGTCATTTAACAATGGTCATACACAGGTTACCCAGTAAGATTTCCATATAATTTCTAATTTCTTACATTTTATTTTCTATAATGTGACATTTCATACAATATATACTAAAAAGTCTTTCATATACTGAAATAATATTATTGCAAATAAGCTAATAAACACAAATTTCAAACTATGACATGTGATGTGTCTGGCTGTTGACCAACAGTTTGACTTTACATGTTTTTATCTCTAGCTAAATAGTGGAGTCTCATTATACATACATGTAATTTAGACACATTCAACTATAGGTCCTTGGCAGAGAAAAAGAGATATAGCAATTAAGTAGAGCAGGCCACTATGTCTGCCATTCCAGTCAATGAGCATGAGTTGGTTTCAGTTCCTAAGGACCTTCCCCAAAGTGAGTAATTCTCTGAAAAGACATGAGTCTACTGTTAAAAGGTAAATATTTTAGATATACCACAATCTCTAATTTCAGCCAACTACTTTTCCTAGTCCTCAATTTAAAAAACAGTGATCTATCTCAAGACTGGAGGGAGAGATTGGGGAATAGATCCATGGATTGCTCAAGAAACAGTAAGAGGCTGTCCCTGATAATTTTAAATGCACGTAATTTTCACCCCACACTTTCTTTGGGAGATAATTCCTCAGACATAACTATAGTTACAGCAGCATATGTTCTTGAAATCCTCTGACTTTTAAGTTGCATTGTGCATTTATTATTCAATACAAACGATCAGGAATTGGAAAAAGGGAAGTGTTGATAGAAGTGATAAACATACATCTCTAACAAATGAGACAGAAATGGAAATCCTTAAGCTCCTGAAGTCAAATATGAAGAAAAAGAACAAAATTATGCAGCAGGAATGAAATACTAGATGTGGGCTCCCCAAACAAGCCATTATTTGAGATCTTAATATCACTTCTAACTTTCTGGAAAAGAATCTGTAGGAAGAGACCATGTTCATTCTGAATTGACCCTGCTGCCTCCTGCCCTCCCCAACCCCCCACCAGCACAGATGGATTCATTCTTGATGTTTGGCTTCCTCAGAATTTTATTCATGGCATCAGTATAAAATTCAAAGCTCTAGAGTAAACCTGATTGCTGGTACCTATCACAACCTAGACTGTAAGCTCCTTGGAGGGGGGTGGGTTATAGGTCTTACTAATATTTGGGTCTATAAGAAATTAGAAAGTAGCTGGCTGAAAAGGGTCCCTCTGCAAAGACTGAATAAATAACTCAGTTATCAAATTTACCTCTCTGAGATTTATTTCTTGTAATAAATTAGGGAAGAAAGAAGGGCAATGCACAATATCCAACAATATCCACCAGGTCATTGCCTCTAGCACAAGTTCAACTATACACATTGCTCTGACCTTACCTATCCAGGGAAATGCAGCACAGGTGAAAAATTGATGCTGTTGTAAGCAGGACGTCTAGAGATGTCCGAACAAGGCAAAACATCTCTCCATAAATCCAGATGTCTTGAACCAGCTCAATGGCACCAAAGGGCATCACCAACACCGAAACCAGCAGATCCGCAAAGGCAAGAGATACAATGAAATAATTGGTTTTTATTTTCCTGTGAGTGAAAAGGTATAAGCAAGGTGGACAAAGGGAGAAGTGAGAGAAGAAAGTACAAGAAAAAAAAAAAAAGCAAGGGAAAAGGGAAGAAAAGAAAGAAAGGGAGGGAAGGGAGGGTGGCAAGAGAAAGAAAAGTCATTCATTCAGTACATACTCTGATACTTGTTTCCCCTTTGTAACATGGTTGAGAATATCCTTCATGGTCTGTCCTCTTCTGACTTCTCCACACTGACTTTACACCAAAGTCCTTTGTTCCTCTCCCTCCTGGCCCCTCTGCCTGATCTCAGGTCTTCCTCCACCCCACATTGAGCTCCCTCCCAAGGCTCTTTACACAGATGTTCTCTCTTCCAACTACTGGCCTAGTTACATCCCACCCTGACTCCAGTCCTTGGCTGGGCACTCTCAGGGAGCTCTGGCAAGAAGTGCACCTGACAAATAGTAGTCAAATCCTAACATTTTAAGTGCTTGGACTTACTTCTATGTGCCTCCCATTTATGACACTAGTCAGAATGGTGCCTTTAAACTTTATTTGTACCATCATTGGGTCAGTGCTTGCTTGGCTTAGAGAGAAACAACACCTGTTATCTCCAAGAGCCTTTTACGTCAGCTTGCACACTAGAATTACCTAATGATTTTTAATAAAATCAGGTCCAAGACTCATCCCAGATGAATTAGTTTAGGAGCTTTGGGTGAGTAACATTTTCCTACCCTCAAAGATTTGCCAGGTAAAATAGAGGATGCCTCATTAAATTTGGATTTTAACAACAAATACATTTTTAATATAAGAAGGTGCAAAATATTGCATGGGATAAACTAATATCACTTAATAGTACTTTTGAAAAGCTCCCATACCTAAATTCCATATTTTGATAGGGAAAACAAAGGGAACTGAGTTGCTAGAGCATGCTAGTGGCAGTTCTGCGAGCGGCTGTTAGCCTGGTAAGTGCACCACTGGGGATACAAAATTCTAACTGAAGCTCATGAAGTACAAAATGCAGAAGACTCAGGCTTAATTCTTTTATCAGTCATTCCTGAAGCACTGATAAAATGTAGTTAGATTAAATGTGCCCTCAACAATTGTATATATGGTGAGTCCAGCTATTTAAACAAATGAAATGTGACATAGCAAAACAGACAGTATGGAAATACACTGAAGGGCTTACACTGGTTATGTCAGAATTGTAACATTACATGTGATCCCCTCGTCTTTATTTTTGAAAAACTGTTCCCATAATTACAAATTACAATGGAAGTGTTCAGATCCAGCTCTCCGGGGACAACCCAGAACTCCACCCATGTTTTCTAAGAGGTTCCCTCATGTTGCTCACCTGAGCTGCCTGTCCCTGCACACAGCCACCATCACCAGCAGGTTGCCCAGGATGGCCATCAGAATAACCGCTGAGAGAAATGTGAGCAACACAACCTTCTCCACTGACCCGAAGCCCTCCTTGGAACTGGAAGATAAGGGTACACAGAACACAAAGTACTGAAGGAGACTCAGAGACACTGGAAAGAAAATTCCATCTTATCCTCCTTGACCTTCAGGAGGGTAACTTCACTGTCAACTGCAACACACACGTATTATAACAAATGCCAAGGGGAGTAGCTTTCACTTGAAGTGCTACCCTGGTTTACTCCTATACAATCAGAGAGTCAGGCTTAGAGAGGTGAACTGACTAGCCTGAGACTGCAGTTACTCCCACTTCTCAGAAACATTACCTTAGCTACTACATTAGGGATATATTTGGTTGATTCCTTTTTGTATACCTAATTCAACTAGCTACATTGTCAGCTGCACCTGGGCTGTTTTATTCACTGATGTGTATTCAATTTACACTTATCAGCTGAAGGAAAGTGTTGGGTGAATGAATAATAGTAACTGGAACCAGAATCTCTATGAACACTAGGGCCACCCTGTTTTCAGTACCCCACTGTAGTCCAGGTAGAAGCTGCTATTGACAGGGCTGTCCAGGCAGAGAAGATGTGCTAAAAGGATCCTCTCATCTCAGTTCACTTGGACAACTGTCCTCAGGTTCTGTGAAGTTCACAGGAGAGGCAGTCCTACCGATAAGCACATGGACTGTTTCCACTGCCTAAATTACTCTTCTTTTGGTGCTCAACATATATCACTTTTTTTTCACAGTTCAAATTTATGTTCTTCTCACTTTCTGCATCTGATTTGATGGTATAAATGCTTCCTTCCCAGTGTCAGCTCACAATTTTGTTTATTAGCATGCAGTGATTACCTCCTATCAATCAAAGCATAATATCTGCAGGTATTCAAAAACTATAGGTAGAATTTTATTTTTTTTAGAGTGCAATAAAATGTTCTCTTTTAAGTTTCAAAGGATTTTAAATTCCCATACCTAAATTCTGTATTTCGATTGGGAAAACAAAAGGAACTGAGTTGCCAGAGCACACCAGTGGCGGTTCTGGGAGAGGCAGTTCTGGTAAGCGCAGCACTGAGAACACAAGATCTCAGGAACTGAGAATTATCTATCTTCCCTGACATTCTTTCACTGGAAAAATCAGCATAGGCAGTGATCCCTAATAGCAGCAGCCTGCCAAGTCCTGGTTCTGGCCTTGTACAAGCACAGAAGACAAAGTCCTGATGGGAATAAGGAACCAGCCTCGCCATGGCTAGAGAATGGGAAAGTCCCTGCCTCTGCTTAGAGGTGTTTCTTTACCAGACTGGGGTTCAGAGGAAAAGAAAAAGTATATTCATCTAAACCACCTTCCCACACTTAAGTTCCAACCATAAACAGTACAAATACTGGACAGAGAAGGTTTAATTCAACGCAGAAAAAGACTTCAATAGAGTGATGTGATTACCAAAAACTAATCTGACTTCAGGCCATGTCACTGAGGTAAAATGTCCAACAAAAAGGAGGTGACAGTGGTTCTTTTCCTTGTACTTCTCGGAAACTTTAATTCAGAGCCTCTCTGAAGTTCATTCTCCCCATAAGACTCTGCACTTGATGTGCCTTTCCCCTGGACTGTTTCTTCAGTGGCTGACTGCTTCTTGTCACTCAAGCCTCAGATTAAATTCAACCTTCATTTACTGTGCTACAGCCAACACTTTTCATTTTCTGTATGGCATTTATCATTATCTGAAAAGATTTATATTATTGACTGCTTCTGTACCTCACCCCCACAAATTGACTTTGGTTATCTTTTCCACCACAGCTCCCAGTGCCTTGCACAATGTAAAGTCTACATTCTGTGTAGCATTAGGTATAAGTAACACATAGGAAGTACTTGATTATTTACTGATTGAGTGAAATACATGTCACATTCATAATGGTGAGGTTTATTCTTCAATGTCCTTCAAGATTGGTTGACAGTGTAAAGGAGATATCACCTAGAGAAGAGAAGGCCCAGGGATAAGATGGAAGCTATTTTTAACTATCTAAAAGGCCATCAATTGAGAAAGAGTATAGTTACAGATTTATTCATTCAATAATATTTTCTAAGCAGCTACTCTATGTTAGCCATTGCATGTTCTAGGGAAATAGCAACTCGAAAAACAGAACAGGCTATAAACAAACACATAGGAAAACATGAAGTGTCAGCTGTAAAAATGTAGAGAAGAGTAAGGAAGTCAAGACCACCAGAGGAGAATGGAGGGCTGGATGCTTCACGGGGTCATCAGGGAGGGTGTGGCTGTCCATCTTATGATGCTCAGGCTGTGTGATTAAGTAGGACCAGCGAGCCGGCTTTCAGAAGTGCTATTCAACCTTAGCTGCATATTGAAATCACGCACGAGCTTTAAAAAATGCTACTGCTGAGCTCCATCCTCAGAGACACTGACTTAATTGGTCTGGTCTACAGCCTGAATATCAGAATTTTTTTCTTTCTTTTTATTTTTTTATTATTCATATGTGCATACAATGCTTGGGTCATTTCTCCCCCCTGCCCCCACCCCCTCCCTTACCACCCACACCACCCCCTCCCTCTCCCCCCCACCCCCTCGCTCCCTGGCAGAAACTAGAGAAAAGGTGAGATCAAAAAGAATTAACCTAGAAGGTAACACACACGCACAGGAAATTAGTGTGAGTCAACTCCCTGTATAGCTATCCTTATCTCAACTAGCAAAAACCCTTGGTCCTTCCTATTATTGCTTATACTCTCTCTTCAACAAAATTAGAGATAATTTTGTTTCAGAATTTCAGAATTTTTCTGAATTTTCAGAATTTTTTTCTGAAGTGATTCTGGTATGCAACCAAGATTGAGTATCTCTAGTAGAGGGAGACAAGGTTTAGGACTGAACAACAAGAGCCTCCTAACAATGAAGAATGACCTAGGACGCTCTCCTGGGACTGTCTGAGCTCCCTGGCACAGAAAGAAGAATACCTGGATCCAGTGAGCTGCTACTTCACACCCATTGGGGTGGTGATAATAAAACAAAACAAACAAATGATAACAACAAAATATAACAAATGTTGGCAAAAATGTGGGGAAACTGGAACCCATATACATTGCTGGTGAGAACGTAAAGTAGTGCAGTCACTGTGGAAAATATACTTCAGTGATTTCTTAAAAGATAGATATAGAATGACTGTATGATCCAGCCATTTAATGCTAAAATTAAAAAACAGGCATACAAACAGATATTTCTATGACAGTGTTCATTGTAGCATTATTCACTAGAGTCTAAAGGTGGACAGAACCCAAATGTTAAACAAACAGAATGTGAAATATACATACTATGGAATATTATCTTGAACAAAAAGGAATGAAAATCTGATACACACTTTAACATCAATGTACCTTGAAACATTATGTTAAGTGTGATGAACTAGACCTAAGAGAACAACATATATGTTTCTGCTTATATGAAAATCCTAGAATAGGCAATTCATAGGGAAAGAAAGTAGAATAATCGTTCTTAGGGCCTTGGGTATGGGGGAATGGAAAACTATTTAATACATACAGAGTTACTGTTTTGGATGAGGTACACCCTCTGGAAATGGATAAAAGTAATAAAAGTTTCATACCATTGCCAATGTAGTGATATCACTGAAATGTACTCTTAAAATGATTACTTTTTATGTTAATGGTAATTTTACATTATTTTTATTATAATTGTATTATATTTTTTATTTTTATTTTATATTTTTATTATAATAAAAAAAGACTCAGATGATCACATATCAGTATGTAATGGACTCCTGCATTTACAGCAGGCTAGGCTGCGTAATTTTAGGTTCCTTTCTTGCCTACAGCTGGTTTGCATATATCCTTAGAATGTGGATTCTCCATCAAGGACAGCTTTAACCTTAGAACCATCTCCACCATGCTGCTTTTCCTCTTATAAGAAGCAGATTCGGAGTGTCTGTGATGAGCGTCTCTGGCTCCAGAGAATGTATATTTCAAATCAAGTGGGATGTCAGGGTCAGAGAGTCCAAGTTCATTGCTGTGGTTCATTTGTGGCATGCCAACTAGGAGGTAGAAATAACTAAACTTCTGTGAGTGACAAGCAAAATTTAACCATAGAAAAAGTTTTTTTTTTTAATTAAGCAGAATGGTCCACTGAACTAAATATAAGTCTAGTAACAATAATTAAAATAAATTAGGAGCCACTTTCTCAAAATCCATGTTAGATCCTTGGGTTACCTCTGTCACCCTCCAGAAATACTGTCAAATACTTCCAGATTATTCTCATCTGACCAGATAGCTTTCCACTACACTGAATTAGTTCTCTGACAGCTATTGTTACGAGAAATTTTAGTGAGCTTTTGACCCATTAATAAAGAAATTCCACAAACTTGCTGCCATGTAGGCCATTTTCTCTGTTCTTAGTAAAAGAAAACATAAAGACAGTAAATCTGGGTAGATTTCCACATAAATTAGTGTGTGAAAGTCAATTGCAAATAACAAAGTATAATACAAATAAGTAATTATTGTTATTGATGTCAGAAACCCAGCAAAGGAAGTTATAGGTTTACACTTTGTTTTACAGATACTCATACATACACAGAAACATACATAAATACCTTCTTGAGAATTAAGAAGATGCTTTGTTTGTTTCTGTACTGAATTTGTTAATCATAAACTGTGTGAAAAATTCACGCATCTTCTCCAAGCTTAAGTTTCTTCATGGATCAATTGAGAAAGCTAGATTAAATCTCCCACATTCATAAATACATGTTACCAAGCACTGTGCTGGAACTGGACAAAGACCCTCTCTCCTGGAGCTCACAGTATGGATAGAAACAGACATGAAGCAAGCGGACAGTTAGAGAAATAAATGTACTTTATGGTCACTGCTTCAAAGTTGTACTCCTCCAATTTTCATGTTTATATTAATTCACTGAGGATATTGTTAAAATGCAGATTCTAATTTTTCAGATCTGGGATTCTGTATTTCTAACCAGTTATACTGATGCTGCTGGTTGTCAAATCATGCTTAAGAGTGGCTAAAAGTCCTAAACATGAAGGTGTGACAGAGAATAATTAGCTAAGAGACAGATGTTAAGTAGTCCA